ACCGGTGCGTATGGTAACCGAGGATTAGCAGATACTCCTGGATGCATCAGTCTCATATCTCCTGAATTGCAAAAAAAAAAGAAAAAGGAAAAAGAAAAATATATTGATTGACAATCGTTGCTAGTTGATATATGCAAAGATAGAATATAATTATCAAGATTAGACTATTAATGAATACCTTGCACGATATGGACACCCTGATACATTGGCAGTGGGTAGCGTGGTTGAGGTTGTGCGTTTCTGTCCCCACTTCCACCACCGAACAGTTCGTGCGCCGGAGTAGGTGACCTGCTTGCTCTTTGAGAGCTACCTGGTGTCGAAGCTCGAACACCAGTGACAACCTAAATAAATATTGATAAATACTCGTTGACGATTGAAATTAATTATATATATATAAAAAATGACGTTTCATTATCTTACAGGAACGTTTTGCCTAAAAACAAGATTTGGAACCAGCGCGGGAGTCATGTAAGTACCAGGTGGCGCAGGGGATGTACCATTATGTGCAACCTGATGTCCAAAGGTCCCACCAGATACCATAGTTGGTGGTGCGTAACTACCGGAGTTGACATACATCAACGGCACTCCGGGCATCTATAATATGGAATCATTGAAAGTAGTTAGATTTATATGACAATAATAAAACTATCATGAATAATAGAAAAAAATATATTTTTTCTTTTTACCTGATTCGATATCGGAGTATTCGGTGGTGTAGGCACCCTGTACATAACTGGTGGTGGCTGTATAGGCTGTTGCCCTGGTGGTGGGTAATACGTTGGAACCATATGTACTGATGGTTGATAAGTATAATCGGCTGGTGCTGGAGCGACAGCAGGGACCGAGTTGTAAGATACCGGATAGCTGCTCATATAATTTGCTAAAAGAAACGATTGGTCTCATGTTCAAGAGAGAAGAGAAAAAAATGCAATAAAAGTTAAAATTACCATTCGATTGATTCGGCGGCGTCATAGTTTGTGCATTAAAAGCGTAATTCGGTGTAAATCTTTGCTGCTGATGTAATTGTTGTCTATCACCTGGATTTTGTCCTACTGAGATCGTCGTTCCTGGTGGTGGGACAAAGTACATCGTTTGCTGTGGCTATAAATAAAGCATTAACACGTTAACATGTTATGAATGATAACAAATTCTCATGTTTCATGTTTCATACCGGTATTTGGTTTGGCGGAGGTTGCCAATAATTAGGTTGCATCGTCTGCACATTTTGCATAGTTTGATTGGAAGATGGGGGTGGTTGAGGATAGGTATGCGGTGGCGTCGAATGATTATCGCCAGCGCCACGTTGATCGTAGATATTCATACCAACGAAATATCCGGATAAATCGGATACCTCCTAAACCAGTTAAAGAGATTCCAATGAAAGAATACTTTTATTTTTATTTTTTTTTCTTAACAAATTAACTTACGTTAGACTGTGGCATCGATCCTTGCTGAACAGGCACACCACCGTAATTGGCATAAACAGGAGGATTTTGGTTGAACGCAACCTCATTTTGACCATTGTTCGGCATATTAGCTTGACCCTGAGTAGGATGAGAGGTCGACATCATCACAGCTTGTTGTTGTCCTATTCCAGGTGATTGATACACACCTTGGTTGTACGGTTCTGAGGTAGGTACATAATTCGCGTACGGTTGTGCCGTTTGATTATGACTACACGTTTGCACCGTCGTGGACGGCTTGACTAGAGTTTGTTGCTGCTGAACAGGCGTGTTTTGTTGTTGCGTTAGAACTGGTGGGGGTGGTGGAGGTGGAGGTGGTGGTGGCGGTGGAGTAAATGGCAAACTAGGTGACGTTGCGGTATTCGTCACGTGAGCACTCGTCGTCGTCGTCGTCGTCGTCGTCGTCGTTGTTGTTGTTGGTGGTGTACCATTACCACCATTGTTATTATTATTATTATTATGATTATTATTATTATTATTATTAGATTTCGAACGTTTTTTACTTTCACTCTTGGATTCGTTCTGTCTGGCAGCTTTGGTTGGTTCAGACATTTCGTTATGTTTGTTAGTAGTTGCCTGATGGCCGTTATTTTCATTTTCCGTTGAAAAGAACTTTGGTGGATTTTCCGGATCAAAACGATATATTGAACCGTCGGCATTCGTGTACGGTTGATTCGTTTGAGGATTAATGATGATGCTACCAGGTGGTACACTGGATAGACTGGTAATAGCCCACATCACCGTTTGATTGCTTGATTCCGGAGAAGCTAGATCCTGACTAGATACTTGAGTATGACTACATGTCATTGCTGCCACGGGCGACGGCGATGGGGATGGTGAGATCGTAGCGTCGCTGCGTTGACTTTGAGATTTATATCCGCTACTGGATGGGCTTAAACGAGAACACACGCTTGCACCCGAATCTGTAACATACAGACATTCGTCCGATTATTCTGTAGTTTCGATAGAGGGAATAATTCTTACAAAAACAAAAAAACAAAAAAAAACAAAAAAAAAAAAAGAAAAGAAAAGAAAAA